ATTAATTTAAAAGTGCCTGTCACATCTATTTAAGAATAATTAAGGATTTAACACCAGACTAGTTTATTTGTTAAGCACAGGCCTATTACTTTTTTTTCTTTTAGAGTATCTACATATTGTCCCAATAATTAAGGTTCACTGGGCACTTTACATTAAAATTTTAGGAAGGGAGAAAAACAAGCATTTTCTTTTAGATTTTATATAACTAGAGCAAAAGAATAAAATAAAAACCCACAACAAGGATAACATTGTGAAAAGCATTTTAAAAGACTTAAGCTTTTACAAATGAAAGTCTCTATGAATACGAAGGTTTTTGCCTGCTATTGAAAACTACAGTGAAGTTTAAAACTATAGCAAACTATAGCATCAGATGAGCTTCTGTTTCCCAACTACAGTGGAACCATAGAAAGGTTCTGTCTGTAATCTAATAACCATCCTATATTTGGCAACATCACTTAGGCAGTGGTCTCCAACCTTGGGCCTCCAGATGTTCTCAAACTACAACTCCCAGAAGCCTTCACCACCACCTCTGCTGGCCAGGATTTCTGGGAGTTGGAAGTCCAAGAACATCTGGAGGCCTAAGGTTGGGGACCACTGACTTAGAGGATCTCAGATAATGGGGTCCAGGAATATAGACATGTCTATATAGGCATGTCTATATATAATCTCAGTGAATTCAGGTGACTTTATTCTCATTTAAGTCAGTACAGCATTACACAGGCATGTCTATATATAAACTAATCTCAGTGAATTCAGGTGACCTTATTCTCATTTAAGTCAGTACAGCATTACAATTCAATATGGCAATCCAATACTCACACAATGTCAGGATCAGAGAGATGCTGCTGCTATGCCAGCACCCACTATCTCCCATGTTCAGCCGGGAAAAGCAGGGGAAGAGAGAGGGAAGCATGGGTGGTTACACATGTGCACATACAGAGTGTGAAAACTAGAGATGGGGGTATTCGTATACAACACAGAGTGTGAAAACTACAGATGGGGGTATTCGTATACAAATACTGTACTGTATCCCCGCACAGGTGGAGTTAACGAGGGTCCAGCCTCATGGGGCCGGACCGTCCGCTCACCAATCCACCACGGATGCAGACGGCGTGATTCTACAAATGGCTCAGCAGCGCACTCGCCACTCCTGGCAGGAGGTGGGAGGACAAGCCGCACTTCAAGGTTGAAGAGTGGCAAGAGCTGCATAGCTATTCGTAGAATTGCACCATCTACATCCGCAGCAGATTGGTGAGTGGACCATCCGGCCCCATGGGGCTGGACCCTTGTTAACGCCACCTGTGCAGAGGGATATTTATATTTGAATACCCCCATCTCTAGAGAAAACAGAAGTTAAAAAGACAAAAACGTGGTGGCACCTTAAAGACTAACTTTTATATTCTTTCACGTGAGCTCTCATGACATCTGATGAAATGGAGTTGTCCATGAAAACTCACATTAAAAAAATGTAAAAGTTGGTCTTTAAGGTGCCACTACATTTTTGTCATTTTCATTTCCATTTCATTTTCACTTATAACGCACAAAGTAAATGCATGGGGTTCTGATTCCCCCACTATGCTTCCTTGAGAAGGTCTGGACTTGATAGTCCATAGGGTCCACTCCAGCTGATTATTATTATACAGTACTAGTAAAATGAAGGCTCTCCCAGACTGAACCAACCAGTAGAAAAAAGGTCTGTACTGGAGGGGTAGAGCAACAAATGGCAACTTCAGCTACACGAGTCAAAGCAAATACTATCCCAAACCGAGGCAAAATATTTTTGCACACGAGACAGAAAATCCCAGAAGCTCCTGCCCCCATCTCCAGTAGTGAAAAATACTGTACAATAACAAAATAAGGACCTAAAAATTGATAGTATTTCATAGCACCCAGAATCTCTTGCTTAGGGCAGATATGTTACTTAGTGTCTATTTTATTTATTTATTTAAAATGTTTTTATCCCACCTTTCTCCTTAAAAAGGACACAATGTAGCTCATAAAAAGTCAATATTTAAAGCTAAAATGGGAAGTATACAAATTCTAACAGGGTCAAATAACACAGTAAAAATGGTAAACAAAAGCAACACCTAAAATGCATTTAAAGTAGAAAGGCACAATAATCCATTTGAAAACTCCAGTCAGGCAGCCAGTCACTAAGGCAGGGGTGGGCAATTAATTTCTATAAGGGGGCCACATGAAAAAT